AGAGAACCAGAGGAAGAAATAAAGCAACAACGACAAGAAAAACACAGAAGAAACTTTGCTAAAGTTTCGAAGACAGTAGACAGTTTTACACTATTGTTTCTTGACTGTGGCTGCATCATGTGTGTCTTATTTCTTCTCTCTAAATAAGGATAAAGGTGGGAGCAGTGGTGGATAGTAGTTTGAATGTCAGTGGAGTGGGGTGATCCATTCCAGGGTTTTGTCTCAACATTAAAGATCTTAGAAGTAGTTCTGTGCTTTAAAAAAGAAAAGAAAATCAACAACATTTTAAATGTTTCACAGTGTTGCCAATTTGCCTGTTTTAAAAATTAGAAATTTTCCCCTCTCCCCTGATTTGTGTATCCTTTCTCTCCTCTATATGAATCATATCTTCTTCAAGTAAAAAAAAATGACCCCATTCTCTTTCTCTTCAAAGTAACATCCACAAACCAAACCAGCCTATGTTGTTTTTACCTGCACATCATGATATTAATCCCAGGGTTGGGAGTTATCAGATCAAAAACATCCCAAATTCCTTTGGTTTTTTGCTCCCGCCACTACTGCTAATTTTGGTCTTGGAACCATTGCTTGCTTGTTTGTTTTAGTGCTTCATTTTTCCACCGTCTTTCTTGGGATATAGTTTATTGTGTTGGCAAAGACTATGAAACTAACAATAACAAATGAGTTCATGAAAGCTCTGCTCCAAAATTTGTGGTTCTGATTGGTCTGCTATTGGTTGTTGGTAGCAACTAAGGGCATGTGCCCTTTAAGGAGCCGTAGATGTTAGGACTGTGATAGGCTTTTCCATTGGGGACAATGTCTGGGAGAAAGAGTTTGTGGCCGACTCTGGAAGCCCTCTTGTGCCTTTTGTTTCTGCTTGATTTCCTCTGCCGTATCATGAAACTATTCACAGAAGATGTTCGTCTCTCCATATCCATGCATTTTGTTCCCAAGTATTCAATAATCAATGGCTTGAAAACATTAAAGCTTGGTTTTGTCATTTTTCATAAAGTACACAATTTTACTGTGACATTGTTGATAATGGGACTTGAGAACTCATTGATTTTAGTATCTACAGGGATGGATGAATTCCTAGAACTAAACTCCAGCAGATTCCAAGGACCTGTTAAACTTGGTGAGGCAAGCTGGCTTTTTGTAAACTCTGCACTCCTGTATTGCTCAAAGTGGGAACTTTTTAAACCACAAAACTAAGAAGGTTGGATAAGATTGCTGAGACTGATCAAGCTGGATTCTATGAAATGGAAGCCAGTGATCAAAAGACATAATTTTGTGTTGCCTTTAAATCCTCTGCTTGGTGTTGTTATAGAAATAGAAGAGGTTCCAAGGAAAATTCTCTTGGGAAAATGAGTTGCCCACAGTAGCAGTTACCTTCATAAGGATTTATCTCTGATTCCCATACAATGCAGTGTAATTGAAATATGTTTGAGGGAAAAGACTCAGCACATATATAAAACACTTTTTTGATGTACGTTGGCTTGCTTGAGTTGCTATATGGCTATCAAGGGTGGTCACTTGTTACTGGTGCTGCTCACCCTTTCCTTTTGGGCTTTGGACCTTTCTGCACAGTTTCAGGGAAGGAAGGGAACAAGACACAAGTCCAGCTATTCAATTTCTGGTGAACAGAATTGGGCTGCAACTTTGTAGTCTGAGTTACATCTCAGTTGAGTCCCGTTCGTCACTTCAAGGATCATGCAAAGTAAACTGTTACCAGATAGTATTCTAAGGTTGCGTAATAGTAACAAACTTGTCACATGGTCGCAGGGGCACTCTGCTTCATTGGGGGTGTGGGGAACCCAGCACCACATGCCCTGCATTGCCCAGCTCCAGCTGAAAATGATCCCATGGAGGGAAGTGTGGAACATGCAGCTTCTCTCCATGAATTCCAGTGGCAACACAGGAAGTCCCGTGTTGCCATGGTGGCGGCATGTGCTGGCTCTGCCCTCCTTCACCCATGGAACTGGCATTGTTTGATGGTAGCTGGCAGTGTCTGTGGGTGACCTGGGCTAAACTGGCACATGCCACCCATTTTAGTCCTGTGTGAAGGGGTTGTAGGTCATTTAGGACTTTCTAGCAGGGCTTATGATTATACATGATCAGTTTCCTCTTTTCATGTGGCCCAGATTTTTGGGTTTCATCTGTTTCACTGGCTGTGTTTCCTCTCTGATCAGTTCACCAAGTTGAGGACTACTTGCATGTTTTTTGTTGTCCTGATCTTTTAATTTTTTGTTTTGTTTAAATCAGATAGTTTAACTCAGCGGTCATAACAACAAGAGCCTCTTTATAATCTAAGGCCCTTTCTGAGTCCCTCTGGGGAGATAGGGCAGAATATAAATAAAGATTTTTTATTATTATTTATTACTATACTGTCATATAATCTAGTTCAAAGCAAATAATCTGGATTTTATATGGCAGGGCAGAAAGGGGCCTTACTCTTTCAGAAACTTGAAAAAAAGAGGGTTTTTTAAAAGAAATGTACAAGTACCTTTTTAGGACAATTCTTGATTCTTTCATCATTGTATATCCAAACTAGCTCACTATTTGATTATCTAGTTCAATGTTTCTCAAACCGTACTCCTCCAGGTGTTTTGTACTTCAGCTCCCAGAAATCCCAGCCAGTTTACCAGTTCTTAGGAATTTGGGAACTGAAGTCCAAAGCATCTGGAAGAACAGAGTTTGAGAAACACTGATTAAATTTCAGCAGTTGATACTATTCAGCATTATAGAATGGAGGCTATCATCTGCCAATTGTCCAAGTTGCTCCTGCTGAATTCTGGGAAATGAAGTTCAGGGTGAAGCCTTTGAAATTCTCAGCTAGAGAGGTCCTCGGCTTCCCTAATTATATTTCGCAACATTCTGCAGGAGCAGATCAGACAATTGACAGACGTTAGCCTCCATTGAAGTTACTCAGTAACCACACAAACTAGAAATAAGCTATAGGAACTTTTCAGCTACAGTTTTCTCTGTTGGGGGATTACTGCCAGAGCTTTTTCTTTACAGGATTTTTGATTATAATCAAGAGATTTTGTTTCAGAAGTCAAATAACAGGGATTAGTTACTGCTTGCCCCATAATTATGGAACCCTGTAAAACTCATATCAAAGTATTCTTAAGACTTTGCTAATTGGACTGGTGGTTCTCAGCATTAATCAGGACCAAGATAATTTTAAACCGTTTTTGTATAATGTTGTTCAATTGAGCGTGTTGTTATTTTTGCGCATGAACACGGGGAGGGTATGTGGGTATGTCTCTGTGTGTGAGAGGTTTGAGGGGAGCAAAGGTCATTTGATGTCAGTGGTGCAGTTATATTCTGGACTGTATTGTTTGGGAGCCGTCCTGCTCATTCTCCTGCCTGGGGCCCTATTCACACAACACAATTATAACACTATGATTTCATTTTAATTGACAGGAGTGCATTCTATGGAATCCTGAGGTTTGAAAATTGGTAGAATACTAGAGCTTGCTGAACTGCAAATCCCAGATTTTCGTGGTAGCTAAAATGGAATCATAGCTCTATAATTGTTCAGTATGAAATAATCCATTGGGTTTTTGCCTCCAAATCCTGCCCCAGTGGCACTACTGTTTACCATTTCTCCTAAGGACTGCAACTGTTACCTACAAACTTGCTTGTACTCGCACTTATTACATCTAGGATAGACTACTGCAATGCGCTCTACATGAAGTTGCTTTTGAAAACAGTTTGGAAGCTTCAAATAGTCCAATGAGAGGCAGCCAGGTTAATAACCGAGGCAGCATACAGAGATTACACAACTCCCATGTTGTGTCAGTTCCACTGGTTGCCAGTTCGCTACCGAGCACAATTCAAAGTGCTGGCTTTGGCCTATAAAGCTCTAAATGGTGCTGGCACAGTTTACCTGTCTGAACGCATCTCCCTCTATGAACCACTGTGGAGATTAACATCTTCTGGGGAAGCCCTGCTCTCAGTCCCACCACCATCACAGGCACGATTGGCGGAGACGAGAGACAGAGCCTTCTCAGTGATTGCCCCTTGACTACGGAACTTCCTCCCTGGTGAGATTAGATCAGCCTCCTTCCTTCAGAAAGGGACAGTGCAATAAGGCATCAATAGGAAACTCTACCCTGATGATCGGATCCAGTATGGCTGATCTGAGATGGTTTTAAACAATTGATTTCAAGTGGAGATAACTGATTTTAATGTTTCCATATATTTATAGTTTATTTTATGTTTCAGCACTGAATGTTTGCCATATATATGATGTGCTCCACCCTGAGTCCCCCTCAGGGTGAGAAGGACGAAATAGAAATACTTTAAATAAGTAAATAAATAAATAACACTAAGAATCAATGTGATGTAGTGCAGCTGGCAATTGTTTTGCCAGTCCCTGACAAACTTCCAGGAATTTTTGTTTAAAAAAACAACATTTGTGCTTGATTGGCTCAGATATAGTGCCAATCTCATGCACACTAAAAAAACAACCCCCCCAAAATTGCCATCCCTATCCATCAGATAGCATGAGAAGCACCCATGTAAGGTATAGAACTTTTGACTAGGGATGTGGGAGATTTGACTTCAAAACTTTGTTCAGCCAAGATGTTCACACTTGGCTATACATCATCTGTTGGCCCAATTTATCTCACAGTAATGTTGTAAGGATAAAACAAGAACTTCTTGGAGGACAGGTGACATAAACACACACAAAAAGGTCATGTATATTCTTGTGTTCCTATATATTGATCCCCATTTATCATAGTTTCCAGCCAATCTCTCCACTAACTTGTTTCCATGATAAAAATGTGAATATGACCACAGTATGTATGGAGGTGGTACCTCTCGTTTGCCAGCATTTTGTGGTGCCAGATTGGCTACAGTCTGGTAAAATTCATGATTCATTTTTGTTCTCAGAAAAATCAAACTTCTTCAAGTCATGCTTTCTCCAGAGCATCCTCATCTTTGCTTTGTGCAAGGCTTTAGTGATTACATTTCCTTGTGTTTACACTTTACAGGGAACATTGAATACAGCTGCCCAGCTACGAATGAGTGTGAAATCACAAAACGGAGGCGCAAATCCTGTCAGGCATGTCGCTTTATGAAATGCCTCAAAGTGGGGATGCTGAAAGAAGGTAAGAAGAGAGAGTGGTATTAATTCTGTCTGTTTTTCAATTTTTAAAGAAAGGTGGTGGTAATGAGCCAATAGCCTTTTTCTCATTAGATCTTGTATGCTTTCATGTGTAGGAGAATGATTAGAATTTTGGATTTATTGGGGTGATAGGTGGCATTGGTTGCAGTTCAATATGCACTTGGTGGCATATATCAGGATAAGCTCCAGATGTGCTGCTGTATGGACTTTTCTTGAGACATGGTATCTCTTGCTAGGATTGCATTCTTACTTGGGAATGTCTCACTGAACTCAGTGGATCTTATATCATATGATTGCACTGCAATGGTACTTTTATGTAAGTAATCCTGAGAACATGCTAAATAAAATGAAAACATAAAAACAATAAAAATATCATTTGTAATAAATAAAGTGTATAACTGCACTGTGGAGAGAGATCATTGTTCTGGCATGGTGATATAATTGTGTTTTCTTGTGTCATCAAATTGTCACCCCAAAGAATTCAAATTTAATTTGAAAGAGACTAATTTTAGGTAGACAAAGGCTAATAGAAGCCAAATTGAGTTGCTTGACTTTGTTTTTGGTTGGGCTGTTTCCACAAAGACCTATCTTCAAGTGGTAGGGGATTTAACCAACTGGTTTAACATCTATTCTGATGAAGAGCTCTGGTGTACTTGAAATCTTATACAGTATTATATGACAAGTTTATTGTCTTGGTTAAAATATTGTAGTGCTGTGGATTTTGGAATATCTCTTATGGTCCAATGTAACTATCTATGCCTTAACTCCCCCTACCCAAATAAAAACCATCAGCACAAAAAATTCCCCTTCTGCTCTGTATGCATTTCTGCACCAGAAAAAACATGCTACATTTTAAAAAAATTTCACATATATGAAAACGAGCCACACACTGAATAATAGTGTTTTTGAAGAATTTAATGCTGTCTTAGCTTTGGCCTGAGCAGAAAGAAAATGTGAAGACAGTTCACTTGAAGAGGAGAGAGACATCTTTGACTGGAGAGAGGCCTTTGTCCCAGTGCAAGAGGTCTCCTTTGCCCTGCAGTGCTTTGCCTGTCCATCTCACTTGGCCTATTGATTGCTCAGTGTTGTCTGAATAGTGCTTGGCTCATCCCCTGTGCTCCTTTTCCTTCCATCCTTTCCCCTCCCCTCATCCATTCAAGGTGTGCCATTGGGAATTCAATGGCAATTAAACACATTCTTATGGATTGGCTTCAAAGCTGAGCTTCCTTGGGGAAGGGAAGGAGGGAGGCTGGGCGGAAAAGGTAGCACTTGGAAGAACTCTGCCTCCATGTATAGGGAAGAGCACAGCTGCCTCAACCTGAGCCACTGAAAAGCTCCCAGCTGTAGACAGCTCCAGCCCAGGGCATTTCATGCAAAGCAGACAGACTGCTCTTGTGGGAGCCAGAAATGAATTGGAAGCAAAAGTGTTTCCTCTGAGGTGTTGCAAGAGTGATAAACACTTGGTTGGTTAGTAATGTAGATTGAAAGCCTTGTCTTGTCCTTTGGCTGACAGATCCTATCTGAGGTTAAATCTCTCTCTCTTTCTTTCAACCACAGTCCTTCAGACACTGGTGAGGTCAGCTTTGTGACCCTCCATGACCTTGGATTTAGATGAAGATGGTCATAGATTCAGGGAGAGAAAGAAAGAAAGATAAGCCTGCTTTGAAGCTAGAGAAACACCTCATTGAAATATTGTCATCTGGAAATGTGTGTGTGCGTGGAGGGGGGTGTCAGAAAGGATGAACGGTTTGCTATTCCCTTGGGTTATTTTATATGATTTACTCTAATTTGCTAGGTTTCCTTTACAACACACAAGTCACATCTCTTCCAGCATATTTTAAATGGAAAGCCATTTAGGACCCAGCTCTTCATCCTTAAAGGGAGTAGCAATTTTTCTGTTGGGATTCAGTCTCTAAATATCTAAATATCTCTAAATATCTAAGCATAGATGGCTATAATTTCACAAGGCAGTGGCATTTGATCTGTGTCTGTAACACATGATAAATTGCCTGATTCAGCATATGCCAGTTTGCAGAACGTCTGCTTGCTGCTGTTTGTTTAGATCAGAGGTTGGCAAGCGCAGCCCATAGGCTGCATGCACTCCCTCCCAAAAACTAGAGGGTCATCCAAAGTCTCTTGGGAAGCTAATGTAGCCTCCTGGCCTCCCACAGTTGCCCATTTTTGGTTTAGATACAGAATGACCTGCCATCATTCCCAAGACAGTGGCCTACATCCTGGATGATAGACTCAGTGATTCATTTGTTGAATGGTGGGTCAACATTTATATAAATACCATTGGCACCTTTGCTCAATTAGATCAACAACTGGAATCACACTTTTTTCTCTATGGTTCTACATGTTAACATGGACACCATAATTAGTGACACTATAGCCAGGACTTGCTATGCATGCCTACCTGTCTTGGAACCCCTATTCAAGTTGGCCCCTCCATTCATTGGGCATATTTCATGCACCTTGCATTTTTACCCTCCAAATCCTTACTGGTCTTTAACCTCCTCAGCCATTGCTTCACCAAACTACAAATCATAGAAATCTGTGGCATTTAGCCATGGCAATTATGCTGGATGAAGAGGCCGAACTGCTAGTTTTGGCAACAACTATGAATGTATTGTCGAAGGCTTTCATGGCCGGAATCACTCAGTTCTTGTGGGTTTTTTCGGGCTATATGGCCATGTTCTAGAGGCATTTCTCCTGACGTTTCGCCTGCATCTATGGCAAGCATCCTCACCTCTGAGGATGACCTCACCTCTGAGGATGCTTGCCATAGATGCAGGCGAAACGTCAGGAGAAATGCCTCTAAAACATGGCCATATAGCCCGAAAAATCCCACAAGAACTGAACTATGAATGTGTTTTAATCTGTATGTTTTTGTCCTGTGGGAACCTACATGCATATCTACTTTGCTGTGATAACTACTATAAAATCTATTACTTGTATTTTGATGTAACAACTATGATAATTTAATAATAACAATGTGAAATCAATCAATAAGCAGCACAACAATGAAATCTAACAAAAAATAGAAAAATAGTATTTGGTCTCTAAAAAAGTCAGCAGTTTTCTGGGAAGAACAAATCCATAATTGTTTGACTTTCTGCAGAAAGATGCAGAATTACCTGGGGATTTTAATTTATAAAGGATTCACTGGCTTTTCCCTACCTTTGGTCCCTGTGATTCTATTAAGTTGTTCATTCCATTTCCCAGTCAATGGAGGATTGTTCCCAGTAGCATATTTCCTATGAATGTATCTAGGCCAATCTTAGAAGTTTCAAGTGAAGATGTTTCCCTTGAGGAACACCTCACACTTCAGAAAAAAATGGCGATACTTAGGCTCATATCCACATTTTGGACTTTCTAGATTTTCCCCCTATCATATTTCCTCATATCACATTAAATAATATTTGTCTTCTGCTTTTTATTTTCTCATTTTATTTTCTCATGTTTGTCTTGATTCCCTCCTGTGAGCTAAGATGATATTTCTTTATTTATTTATTTATTTATTTATTTATTTGCGACATTTGTAGCCCTCCTTTTTCAGTCTTATGGCAACTCAAGGCAGTTTACTTAATTGGTAAAATTTGATGCCACACATTCATAAAAATATAGTTAAAACATTCAGCCTAATATTAAAACCATAAACAACATTAAAAACATATAATCACCAGTGTTGTCCTGCTAAAATCATTATCCAGCAACAGCATCTAGCCATTCCGTGTTCATTCTTCCTATTTCATAATTATTTATTTTGCTGCATTTCTAAACGCTTGTTTAAAAAGCCAAGTTTTTACTCTTTTTCTGAAGGTCAGGAGGGAGGGGGGTGATCTAATATCCCTAGAGAGGTAGTTCTACAGCCAAGGGGCCACCACCAAGAAGGCTCTGTCTCTCATTCCCTCCAGATGCACCTGTGACAAAGGTGAGATCGAGAGCAGGGCTGCCCCAGATGATCTTAAATTCCTAGCTGGTTCATAGGGAGAGATACTTCCAACAGGTAAGCTGGACTGGAACCGTTTAGGGCTTTATAGGCTAAAGCCAGCACTTTGAATTGTGCCCAGTAGCAAATTGGCAACAGAGCAGTTGTATGCTCCTGAACGTTGGTAACCTGGCTGCCACCCGATGGACCATTTGAAGCTTCCGAACAGTCTTCAAAGGCAACCCCACGTAGAGTGCATTGCAGTAGTCTATACAGGATGTAACCAGAGCATGGACTACAGCTGAGGGGCCACCACTGAGAAGGCCCTGATAGAATTTATTTATATAGCACCACCAATGTACATCATGGTGCTTTAATAAAAAAAATGACATGAACCAACTTTTTGTGTTAGATGAGTTATAACTGGTCGAGCATCTTGTTCTCCTTAGTGGAATGAGGGTTGCCTAAGAGAAGCCCATAAAGACAGTAATACCCCTCTCTCCTCATGGTCCTTAGAAACTGGTATACAGAAACATCCAGTCTCTGATATTGGAGACAGTATAATAATCATCCTGTCTAATAGGCATCTTTAATCATGGCTGGATGGTCATCTGTCAGGAGTGTTTTAATTGTGTATTCCTGTGTGGTAGAATGGGACTGGATGAATGTGATGATCTCTTCCAACTCTATGTCCAACAATGGAACTCACTGCCCCATGATGTAGTGGTGGCTCCTTCTTTGAAAGCTTTTAAATAGAGTTTGGATGGTAATCTGTTGCAGGTGCTTTGATTGTCCTTTTCCTGCATGGTAAGGGGTGGGATTGGAGTGCCTCTTCTATGAAAGAGGCAATTCCCTAGGAAAATCGAGTTGGTCTCTTTCAACTCCATGATTCTGTGATTCTACAACAGGAGTTGTCCTTGGGAAATGGGAACAGTTGGAGCTGATTCTTCAGGTGAAGGGGAAAAGGGCTCCAAAGTGATACTTTACAACTTTGAAAGACTATCCCTGGGATGTACACATTACTGGGGGTTTGTTATGGCAATGCAGAAAAG